AAAAAAAAAAAAAAAAAAAAAAAAAAAAAAAAAAAAAAACCCACAACAAATGAAGTTACCAGAAGTCCTCAGTAATAAGACAAAGCATTTCTGTCAGATGAGACTTCATTGTGGTACTATTAAGGCCAAACAATCTTAGAGGTAATATCTCCTTCCAAGGTTATTATTAATAAAATGACAAAAATTTAGACCGATTATATGAAAACTTACTATTAACAAAAAAAGAGAACACGATACACATATAGTCACAAAAAAAAATCCTGTCTAATCTGTTGCATTAGTAATGTTCTTTGTAACATGAGACTCTTAACTCTTAAGGGGTATCCTTTTTCTTTTTTAATTCCCTACTTTTAGAGGTTCCAAAAGATAAAACTCTAACTTTTAAAGTTTTAAACTTTATTTTGAAAACTTCAAAATCAGTCTTCATTCTCGATTCGTTAACTTCAGAAATTTATAAAAGTCCAGCTTTAATCATAACAAAATTTTAAGGACTTAAATCTGCTTAGGTTAGCAAAACCTACATAAAGGCTGAGTTTCTTAATCCTATTACAAGTGCAATTAATGGACATCAGTATCTGAATAGATATTGAGAGTCTCTTAGAAATGTGAGCTCAGACCCCCAGCTCAAACCTATTTAATCAGAATTCAAAATTTTACCTGCACCTATGAGTTTGAAAAGCACTGTTAACTATCAAAAGTTCAGCATAACATGTATGTGTATACCTACACACACATATATGTATATAACATACAAGGTTTTCAAGTGGCTTAGGGATAAAATGGACATGAGTCTAATAAGTAAATATAGCCCCTTCCACCCACCAAATCTCTTAAATCTCAACAAACTAGATTTTCTACCAGCAATTTTTTGTAATTTTCATTCCTAAAAAAAAAAAAAAAAAAACCCACAAAAATCCCACTTACTCAGATCTTTATTTCTTGTTCTGCTACTAATGATATTTCTATTACTCCATATATGTAGCAGACTACCTTCAAATTGTACAGAAAAAAGAAAACATGGGCAATATCAGCCAACTATCATGCTTTAAAAGTTGACTTCAATCCTATTTTTTGACTATATTACTCCTAAAAGGATTAGACTTAACCTACACTATTTGGAATTAAGAATAAAGCCCCAACGACTTTAAACTTGTTAAAAAACAGTATCTTTAAATTTTAAATTTAAATCCACTGAAATCTAATCCAATAGATTTCATGGATATCAAAAATTATACTGCATGCCACTAGATTCTTAAGTTGCATAATTATTAAACCAGATTTGAGTGTTGTTACTAACATCTGCCATGTTTAATTATCAGAAAAAGATGTGAAAAAAATTCTATTTTATTGGTGAAACAATACCATGGATCCTACCAAAAAATATTAATCCTTTTGTCACTTCAGGGATAAATTTGCAGAAAATTTTTAGGCAAGAATACTAAAGTTAAGGTGATTCAAATATATATTGGTAACAACACCCAAAAGATTTAACAAGCTGATATTTGCCTTAAAATAGTATTTTTAAACTTCAATGAGCCACAATTTGTTTTAACTAAGGTACTAATACTTTTATCAAATCCAATTAAAGTATGTACATGGTAATCATTTCACTCACATTTTCTGGTGTACTACCCAGTCTCCCAAGAACTTCATCTCACCAGCAAATGAAAATACTTCATATAAATCTTAGAGGATGTAGTCATCAAATAAACTGATTGTTACTGTGAACTGTCTGCATTAAGTATGCAGCTATCCCTTCCATAAAACACATACCCTTTATTCATACCTGTTTGCCAAACTCATGTGCTTCTTTACTGTTAAATATGGACAATGTAAACCACAACTGTGGTTCTACTTTTAAAATCTGTTTTTCATTTTTTTATCAAGCTACAATTCTTAGTTCAACAATTCCAGAATTTTAAAAACCATTTCACAATATGTGATATTTCAAACATAGAACATACAGAACAATATATGTGATTCTGAAAAAAGCTATCAATTTTTATAGGAACTGACTAAAAGTCCCTACTGGATAGGGAGACTTAAAGTAGACAGAAGGTTAACCTTTCTATGCCTTGACCTAGAAGTATGCTTTCCAACTAGGGGTTAACTATAACAAAATTGTGCACTTATCCTATCAGAGAACAAATGAGATAAAATTCTAGTTAAAAGAAAAAAACCAACAAAAATAATCTGGACCAGGCGGCACACACCTGTAACCAGGGCTATCGGTAAAGACTGCAGGTGGAGGACTTCAAGTTCAAGGTGAGGCTGGGCTACACAGAAAGTCCGCCTCTCTGTCCCATGCACACAAACATGATATATATGGGAAGCTGGGTACTAATACTACTTGGTGAGATTTACAAAGGTTTTAATTACACACCCTAGTTTAAAACTTGGCCAAACAAACATACATACATACATACATACATATACACATACATACAAAAAGAACAGTTTCTCCATTTCTTCCAAGTTTATTTTTAGGTATTGGTGGAAAAAGCTTTCTTATAGTCCAACGTGCAATGAATATATGTTCAGACTAACTCTTCATTAAGAAGAAATGTGAATGAGACACTCTTTCAAATGGCTGGTATCTTCTTCCAAACCAAAAGAAAAAAACATAAGGGCATGAATAGCAAAACTATCATGTAACATTTTCTTGTTTTAATAATTTCACTTTTTGGATACCTTAGAAAATAAACCCACGTCTTAACTGAGATTAACTAAGTACAAAACTATGCATTGTTTTATTTGTAGGTGGAGAATATTACAAGTATCTGCAGCAAGCCCATGAAGTATTCCTATTATCCATACTGATATTTCAGTATTAAATATATACAAATGTTTCAATGAAACAAAACCAAGCTATTCACAACTGCAGAGAAACACAATGAAGGCTGAAAATTCATAAATTAAAAATACCTCTATACATTATGTACAGTCATGCATTTAGAAATGAATATTGTCTGGAGCAAATTTTCACAGGCAAATGCTGCTGCACAAATGTTTGCTAACGCAAAGGAATGGAATTTATGTATATTCTGCATGAATACTTAATCCAGTAAGTTGAAACTTAGTATTTTTTTCTTCCAAGCCATCCAAAATCTACAGGAGAAAAGTCCCGAAAGTTTTGTGTCTCATTTGAAGTGTTTTATCAAGAACACATTTTCCAGACCTCAAGTAAAACAAATGTGAATAATAAGCAAAACCCAAGTATAAACATGTTCAGCAAAATCCAAATAAAAATTTCAATTGCACTTTGAATTATTTTGTATTACACACTTCACCACAATGAGTTGAAAGTACAAAATAAAATATATGCCTGCTCCTTTTACATTGAATTTCGGTGAAATATTTAAATTTCATGAAAAACTATGCATAGTAGCCAAGAAAATATGGTGAGAAAAAAATCTTGCCTAATGAAATTAAAAACCTACACTTACAAAATAAAATCATTACCCTTCACAGTGTGAAATGTTACCAACTTGTAAAGTTTCTCAAATTTTGCAATATATCAGAATGTTTTAGCAATCAAGAAATATGGATGTTTTAAAAATCTTCAATTTTCTCTTAAGATACTAACTAGAATTTTCAGGGGCTGGTGATCTCCAACGTGACTGCAGATTTTTTATTATAGAGTTTGCCATAGTACCAAGTTTCTCATGCATTTCAAATAGCTGGCTTCCTGAATAATTATGAAGATCTTCTGAATCCAACTGAAGAGCAAGAGCACTAATTTGTGCTAAAAGATTTTTAGATAATGGAGTTTCTAAAGCAACAGGATTAATCAAATCTAAAAGAGAAAAAAAATAATATTAAACTATCCAGGTTTATATTTAACATACATGTATCTCCTATCAAATTACAAAAGTTTAAGTGCCTAGGTTTAAACTAATAAAACAGGTTGGATACAACTGTTTCTCAAGGAAACAAGATAATAGAAAAAGTAGAAAAATTCAGAGCTTGTTCTAGTAAAGAAATGCCTAATATGGATGGGGGAGGTACCGGGGATCGAACTCAGGACGTTGCTCATGTGAAATAGGCGGCAGAACCACTGAGCTAAATCCCCAGCCCAACTACTATTTTCATTAACATAACTGGAACAAAATGTAGAGTTTATATGTATTAGAGAAAACCAACAATTAGAGAAAACCAACGAAGTTATTTTTCATGCACTTCATATTAAGCACCAAAAAACTTACTGAATTCATGCAGCATTCCCAAATAAATTTAAAAGTATATTTATTATTTTCAAGTTACCTGATTTTCTAAATAAAATCATTTTATTAAGCTATACCTGACGGAAGCCTTTCTTCATCAGCTGATTTATTTTCTATTCCATTTAGTGTTTTTTCAGAAATATCAAAAACCGGAATTTCTTCAAGTCCGTGAGACTTCATCTTAATAACACATTTAGAGCAGTGGGAAAAAAACAAAAACACAAAACCACAAGTCAAATTACATTTTTTTTTTTTTTTTTTTTTTGGAATCCTCTTGCTTCAGCCTGAGTAACTGAGATTATAGGCATGTACCACTACATACTGCTCAAATTAATACTAGTAATGGTACGAACATTGGGAAAGCAGATAATGAATGGAGCATATGTTGCAAAGCCCATAACAACTCAGTTAACACTGCTAAGAACAGTATGTAAGAAATACAAAAACAGCATTACAAAGGATTTCTTCAAAAGGAGGGTCTGGAATTTATTATTTCATAATGGACTTAAAATTTGATCAAATGGATGGTGGTGTACCTTTCAGTACACTATCAAGCTGCTTATAAATTATATATATACAATTTTCCAGTGCCCATGAATGTTACATGAGACAATATTTCAGAAACTCAATCTATGCCTAATATAGTTTCTGGGCATTGTTTTTTCCCCCTACTTTTTCTCAGTGGTACTGGGAATTGAATCCAGGGCCTCAAAAAAGACAACATTCTTCTTCACTCTTACTTTGAGATAGGGTTTCGCCAACTTGCTCAGGCTGGACTTGAACTTGTGATCCTTTGGCCTCAGCCTCCTAGAATGCTGGGATTACAGGAAAAGTGCAACTAGGCCTACATTTCTTTTCATAAAGTATAAGTCAGCAAATATTTTTGAGGATGACAAATATAAGGTAATGACTTCTAAGAATACAAAATTGTTTGGCAGCAAGCAAATCCTATTTTATGAAAATCTAATACAGAACCCTGGTTCTCACTCTTAACACTTATTTTTTTCATTTATTCACAAATTCTAATAATGTCAACAGATGGATCATTGAATGAATTTCAGGAATATGCAAATCCTAAACTTATATATAAAATTTTCTGCAAACATTTACATGGGGGTAATAATCACAGCTTTCATTAGAATCACGAAAACTGCCCACAACTCAAATGTTTATGGGCAAAATGTTGATGGGAAGAACATTAAATTCAAATGTTCAAAAATCAAAAAACACTAGCTGGACATGGTGGCGCAGGCCTTACTTTGCAAGGTTGAGGTAGAAGGATAATTCAATCTAGCCTAGGTAACTTAATGAGACCTTGTCTCAACAATAAAAATTTAAAAAGGGTGGGCTGGGATTTTGCTCAGTGGTTCTGCTGCCTGCCTTGCAGGAGCCAAGAACTTGAGTTCAATCCCTGGTACCCGCTCCCCAACACACAAAAAAGGTTGGTGATGTAAAGGCCTGCAAAGTCCCTGGATTCAATCTCCAGTACTACATCCCTCCCCCATCGAAACAATCTGACTTATTTAGATTTTTTAAATGTTTGGATTTGAACATTCAGGTTTTAGGGACAGCAGCCATTTCATGATGGAAATAAACAGGCAAAGGAAAGGGGGTAGAAAAGCATTCAAATACAAGAAAATTTTTAAATAAACCCTAGGGATGTTACATAGAGAACAAAAGAGTAAACTTTACTGTGGGAATTAAAAAAATGCTCTTGATGACTAAGGAAGAAACAAAAAATGTGTCTTTATACAGACATTTGTAGCTATTTTGTTAGATTGACAGATAATTTCTAAGTACCATCTAAATTTTTACCTGCTGTTCATGGTATATTCTGAGAGCCTTTTTTACATTAGACACTTTTGGAGAACGAATAGGAAGAGTTTTTATTTCTGATGCCGTAAGAGTACACAAATCCCCAATAGTTTTTATATTCTTGGCTCTGATAAGTTGTCCTAGACCTCTTGCCCTGAAAAAAATAAAAAGTAAAAATGCAACTACTTTTTTGTATATGCTATTTTTGATGGCTTATCCTGCTGAATTTCTCCATTTAAACACAATTAAGGATAGTGTTGCATGCCTGTAACCCAAGCACTCAGTTGGCCAAGGCAAAAGAATCACAGTAGGTCACTAGGCAGCCTGGGCTACACAGCGAATTCAAAGCCAGCCTGAACTACAGAGGAAGTCCTAGAACAAAACAGTAACAATGATACTCATAACTGCATTTATTTATTATTATACTTCAAATATGCATATATTTATTATTATACTACTTCACAGTGAAGCAGGCAATTCTACTTAATTTTTGGGAAAAAATCATGATTAGGACCTAGTTTCCCTAGCTACAGACATGTAGAGACATAACTTCATCTTCGCCTCCCATCACAGCTAAGACCTCAAGGGTCCCTACATACTGTGATTCTCCACAGCAAGACTACACCAGCGGGAGATATCCTGGGAGGAACCAAATCTTCATTAGCATAGTTCCTCATTGTTCTAGGATTTCTGCTGCACCCTGAGTTGTCTGTTGTTTGTTTCTCCCAATGTACTGTACTCTCTGTCTGGAGATATTTGTTACATTTGTTTGTCCCAGTGTACTGAATAAAGATGTGGCAAGCTCTGAGGCTTCCTTCTTTGCGCCCAGAGCAGCATTGATCAGACCCAAAGCTCAGCTTCCAAAGTCTCATTTTCTTATCTTTCCTGTATAGTAAGTTAATTCGCCTTGTGTGGTCATGGCTCACAGGAGACTAGGACTTACTACAGAGGTTCTAGTAAGGTCCCCTTTTCCCTGTTCCCTATACGATTAATTTAAAATAATATTTGAATATATTTAACACTTGACTAAAGCAATTGTACTAAAAACAATCTCAATGTATGCCTTATGCTTTACATACTTTAGAGTCTTTCTTTCTTTTTTTTTTTTTGAGACACTGTCTCACTACGTAGTTCAGGTTGGCCTTAAAAGAGTAGCCCAGGCTGGTCTTAAACTTGTGGCACTCTTGCTACCTCTGCCTCCTGAGGGCTAGATTACAGGGATACACCACAATGCTGAACCATCACCAGTTTCTAATAAAGATGAATTTTAAGATTTCCTTAATATGTATGAATACACTCCAGTGTTACATTATATACAGATGTTTGAGTTACGATATTCTGGTTTATCTGTCTGTGTATGGGGCCTGTCTTGTTTTACGAAGTCTCCTAATCTAGACCCCTTTTAATGTACCATACCTCCCACCTCTATGCTTAAGAAATGGATCAGAAATTATATGTTTAACACATATAATTTAATGGAGAAGGTGAAGGACAGTTCACATCATGATATGGCATATGATTCAAATAGAAATTATCTTAAAGTCTCTGAAACTACCTAAAACAATTTTTTGAATCAAGATATGGCAATGAAGAATTGCTTACTACCCCTCCACCCCCCGGCATTTAACTTTCCAAGACATGAGGGAAACAAACTTTTAGTTAAAAAACAAACAAAATTTTAAAAACCTCAGGTTTATATAAGTGAACTTCATGCTTAACATATGTGACAACTGACACTTGTTAACTATAGTCATACATCATTTAGGTATGAGATTAGCTAAATTAGCTGTAAGATTTTGGTGAATTGAGTTTGAGAAAGGAAATATGATATGCATATTCCTCAAAGGGTATCGATTACAATTAAGTAAGATGTTTCAATATAGTACCTGGCAAATACTAAGCAAACATTTACTGTATTTAGACAAATGCCTCTAATGCTGCCCCTATGGCCTACCTTTCAAGCTGCATTTGTATTTCTGAAGTAAAATATGTGCAGGAAAAGTACATGTCAATTCAAAATGACTTTGATCAAATATTCTTTTAAGTCACATCTTGAAATATAACCCAGAAGTATAAATAACCACTTACCACATGTTTGATGTAATCTGAGGTAAAATGATGTCAACGGGTGCTGCACAATTCATCAAAGCCGGGTAAACACTTTCTGTGGGGCATGGCATGGATTCTTTGGTCATTTCTGTAATCTTAGAATAAATTTCAAAGCTGTTAAATGAGAGGTCACCTGACTAAACATAAAAATATAAAGATGCATGAAAACTAAAGCACTTCTTACTAAACACTTCTTTGAGCTCTTAAATTTACAGTTCCGTGATCCTGGGGACAGAAATCCTTTGGCTGAAGTGGTAATATGCTAGGCAGAAAGGAGAGAGAGAAGAAGAAGAAAGAAAAAAAAACTCATAACCCTAGGCAACTATACTTTTACAATTTTCACAACTTAAGAGTGCAATTATTTAACATTAAAAAAACATAAAACAATGAACTACCTGATCAATTACTTGCTAGATCATCATCTTACCATCTCCTTCATGTCTGCTTAGCATGAGGTACAAAAATATGGCTAAACCAAAGGTTTCTTCAATAGCTAACCTTACACAAACACAATTCTATGTGTGTATGTTTTAGAGTCTACAGCTTACCTTAGTTTGTGTAGTAGGTGAAGTTTTAACATTTTTCATTACAGGAGAACTATTTGAAGAATGAGACCTAACAAGAGAACATCGCCTATCAATGTCATCTGCCAATCCTGCTTGGTATATCGGATCTGCAAATGAGACACGACGAACCTAAAAAGACAGATCAGGTTTTTAACAAAATTTAAAAAATTTTTAAAGATGACACCACCAATTTTCATTATGAGGTTACCCAAAAGTAGAATGTAGGTTTAGAAGCTGATTTCTTTCACTAAAAGCCCACCGTACATACCTGCTCATCCAGTAACTACTTTCATATTATTCTTCAATAGCACATTCTAATTATCTATGTTATAAACTATTTCTGTATAATTTAGATTTTGAAATAGGAATCACTGCAGAAATTTCATAGAAGTAACTGCCACATATCAGTTAAAACTGTACAATCTGTAACAACCTTTTTGGCTTAGTAAATAAACTAAAGAAAACAGGTAAAAAATAACTGGCTTCTGGAACATCTTATTCATCATCTCTGTTCTAAACTCTCTTAAGAGTACCATCACTGTCACAACAATTAGGCGACAATTTTTACCTTAGACCCACCTGTGGTTAATCTGGCCTCTTGTAACCAATACTATGCTCATATATTAAGCTATTTGATATAAATAAAGAATAGATGCCTATTAAAACCATCACTATATTGTTATATGTCTTCTAGCCTTGATTATCAAGACTGGGCAGATTCTACACATAACTGGCACAGAAAATACAGTATGTTATCCTATTTCCTAGTTATTAAGTATGAGTTGCTGTCCAAACATTAACATATAAAAAATATGAACTATTTTGAACATATTAAATCTAATGCATTCCATCTTACAGAGGTACTCAAAAAACATTATGGTCTATTATATTTAAGATAGTAAAGAAAAAACAAAGTGATAGCCTCTAAAAAGAAAACACCCCCAAAATTAGGAGCTAAGGATGTTACTAAGTGGCCAAACACTTGCCTAATACGCAGAGGCCTTTCAAACCCTAGGGCACTGGTGGCAAGTCTCAGGCACACATGCCTCAGTGATGTCATCATTGGAACATCTAAAACATTTACCATCACTGCCCACAAATAACAAAACATAAAATTAACCTTGAGAACAATTAAGTCTTTCTAAATGGCTCAATCCCTGATTTCTCAGAAAAGTTGTTTCTTGAAAAACTGATTTATTTTTTTTTGAGACAGTCAAATGTAATGTAATTCAGATTGGCCTCTAACTCATGATGATAATCCAACTGCCTTAGCCTCTGGAGTGCTAGGATTACAGGCATGCACCACCATACACAGTTGTGAAAAGCTAAAAATTCTGGATAGAGATTAAGTATACAGCTGGATGTGGGGAACATGATTTGTGCCTGCAATCCCAGCACTCTGGAAGTCTGAGGAAGGACTACTGTAAATCTAAGTACAGCCTGAGTAACTGAGTGGACCTCAAGACCACAGGAAGGAAATAGCAAGGTAATGTACTTATATACACATACAACAGAGAATGTGGAAAGGCAGGAGACCAGAAACTATAGCAGACATCCAGTGAATCTATTTTTCCTAAAGGAGGTATACAGCAAGGCATAGAAAATGGTAATTCATAAAAACATTCTAAAGAAAGACCATAGTTCCATAATACAATGTTTTCCTAACTAGTAAGTTCTATGACATGCTATCAATCACCAGTCCTGGGGGAGAAAAGGAAAAAATGATGAAGGTAACCTCTTAAGAACTTTGTAGGTAAGTTTACATCAACCCTCCCAGAATACATTAAGTACTAAACCTGTTTTATCAATGGTAATTGGTGTCATGTGACTTCCTAAATTATACTATGTAAGGCACAAAAGTGGGAATCTTTAACAATTTTGTCTGAAGTAAACAACTGTATAAAGATCATGCACAGCTGTATAAAGATAAATGCTGTGAAATAAGGTATTATCGAACGGATTTCAGTCCCCCTTTTCCTAAGTAACCACAGCAAATGATACAAAATAAATGGTCATTTAATACTCTCATTCACCCAATGTCACTGGAATGCCAAACAGTATTCTGAACAAATATTAAGACTAACAAGTGTTCAGCCACATTCCTCCTACCTTGTTAACAGGTGATGAGCTCTCATCTTCTTGGAGTCGTTTTAGTCCTCTCTTTAAAATGCTGGTAGATGGAGAAGCCAAAGGAGACCAGACACAGCGTGTCTGCATACCACTAGGACTGTCACTTGCTGACATGAATAATGAATCAAGTTCTCTTAATTTTTCAGGAGATGAATTATCCTCTGTTACCATCTCAGAGATAGTTGCTTCAGACGTCAAAGACTGTGATGGTTCCTCCACTTTATCTGGAGTATGGTTAACGTCCAGTAAAATGTCATTTCCCATTATTTGATTGTCATCTAAATTTGTTTCTTTGGACTTACTCAATTCAGTATTTGTTTCAGTTTTATGAGTCTCAATCTTTCCTTCCTCGGTAGTCATTTCAAGTTTGTTAAGAACAAAACTGTCCATTTCTGCCCTCAATTGTCCTGTTTTGGTGTCTTCTGATTTAGTTTTAGTAGTCATGGCCTCATCCTCTGATTCTCTGACAGAGGCAATTTCATTATTCATGTGACCAATCACCATTTCTTCATTATTTTCCATTTTGGCATTCACTTCTTCAGATGTGCCTGAATCTGACTCATTACTTCTGCCACCTAGTTCCCCACCTATTTGTTTAGAAATCTCAGTCTGAGTATTCACAATTATAGATGTGGTGTTATCACAAAGACCAACACCTGAATAAAATTCCTCAGCTGCCGCTTCAACATCTCTATCAGCTGTTTCTGTGTTAGGTTCATCACTACTCTTACATTCCTCTGCTGCCACTTTAGAAATATCAGTTTTGACACTCTCTTTTTCAGAGACAGTAGCTTCAGATTTGTTTTCTACATCAAATTCCATAGCTTTTATTTCCTCTAGATTGGATTCTCCTATTGCTTTACATGCATTGCCTTCAATGTTAACATCAAGTTCTTTTTTCAGGGTTGTTTCTGTGTTTTCTTCCTTGGGGTCCAAATGATATTCCTCTGAAAAGTCCTTACAATCGGCTAGACATGGGCCTGCAGCTTTAAATTTTTTGTTAGTTGGCTCTTCAATTTCGAGAGATACCACTTCACCAAAATCCACATCACAAGGTTTGTCTTTCAAGTTTACTATTTCAGAAGATTTTTTAATGGTATTTTCTTTCAACTCTGTTTCAGGTACAAAGTCATTAATAGTATCATTCCCCTTAAGAACCAAATTAAAACACACACTTGCACATTCATCTAAAACTTTTGCTTCAGAACACAAATTAGCTTTAGAATCTGTTTCTAATATTTTGTCAGGTGTTTGCACATCTGTCTTTTTTGTTTGGCTACTCTTTATGTCAGAATTTTCTGTGTTCTTTAGCCCAGTGAGCGACTTTTCCTGAAGTTGAGATTTTTCCCCACAGCAGTCACAACCTTTAGATCGCCTCACCCTCCGACTTCTCTTATGCTGGCATTCAAACGTCTGGACATTTTTTTCAGAAATTTCTGATGTCCCCGTTTTGGAGCATTCTCCTACACTGTTATCAGAATCACGCTTAAGCAATCTCTTACTCGCATTTCTAGTCCTTAAATTTGATTCTGGTATAGGTGAACTTGCACAAGTATACTCTGCACATTTGCTAGTCTTAGTTTTTCCCTCATATGTATGTGGCACATCAGAAACTTGCAAGCTATCTGTAGCTGCTGTAGAATCCTGAAGTATTACAGGACTTTCATCTTTTTCACAAACCTGAGGCTTTTTGTCTACATCCACTTCAGAAGTTGCTTTATGATCCTGTGTGTGATTCTCTACACTTAGGGATGCCTTTTCTATCACTTTTTCCTGTTCTTCAATATCTACACTCTCACTGTTTTTGTTTTTCGATTTTCCAGACCTCTTCTTCCTAGAACCTTCTTCTTTTGCCTCAGAACTATCAGATTCTGAGTTTTCAATGCTGGAAAGTAAACCCTGAGATGCTCTCCTTGTTTGATATCTTGTTCGTCCTCTTAAAGGTTTCTCAGAGGACTTATCTACAAGATCCAGGGCACTGTCACCCTCAGAATTAACATTTTCAAGGTCTGGTTTTCTTTTATTTAGGTCAATGTCAGCATTAGCACTGGTTTCACCAGAAGCCTTCTCGTGTAAATTATTTTCTTTCTCAAGTACGTTTTCCTGTTCTGTTTGTTGAGAAATCAACTTCTGCTTCGGTAACACATGTAATAAACTCTGAGTTTTTTCCTCTTCCTTACGTCTTTCCCTTTTTTGATGACTATTTTCTTTATCTTGGTTATCACCAATACAGTCTGTTATTTCTGAACGTCGCCTTAAAGACCGTCTCAGGGTTTTTTGATTTGGAGTTACCTGAACATGATTATCTTCATTTACCATTTGATCTGCTGGGGTTACTGCTGGAGGTGTATTTTCTTTGGATTCTAAATTAATCCCCATGTTTTTCTCTTGGACAGGATCATTTTCCAATAAAACAGCATTTTCTAATGCTGGTTTCGGCTTTCTATCTTCATGCTTTGCAATAGGTTCAGAACAGTGAACCTGACCATCTGATGAACATGCTGTTTGATTAAGCAAATCAGGGGAGTTATTTTCTAAGGCTATTGTGCCTTCAACAGGTTCTTGATTATTTTCCTCCTGTTCCGATTTTATTAAGGGTTTAGACCGTTTACTTGTTGACCTCTCAGCTTTACTCAATCTTCTGCTTGATCTCTTAACTCCATTCAGTATTTTTTCTGAATCAGACTTTGAATGCATCACTTCTCTCTTTTTTGTTTTTGGTGTACTATCTGCTGTAGTCATGTTTTCACAGTTATTTTGCACTGAAACATCTGATATATTACTCAAAGAGGATGGGCTGAAAGGTCTATTATCTGAACCATCAAACTTCTCCAAGGTAATAAAGCTTTGCCTCCGACTTGTAGGCTGTGGGGGAGTTCCAGAAATACTGGCATCAGAAACTGAGCAACTGCTGACTACTGCATTTTCTGCACTAGAGGTACCTTCAGTTGAAGTTTTCTTTGACGAAATTAAAGAGTTTTTCCTGGCTTTGCTATTACTGCTCAGTATTTCTGGATCGGTTTTGGGAACAAAACCATACTCATTATTTGGAAAAGAAGCCTTTTTGATATGCTCATCCATACCACAGTTTTCCAAGGCATCTTGAATGATAGTATCACTCTTCATTTGCTCCTCCTGCAGAGAACACACACACACACACAAATATATATTTTATATATACACACACACAGATTAAATAGCAAATAAATTTGACTTTCTAGGGAAATTTAAGTGCAAAATTTTGGTACTTGAAAAGACAAGTGTTTTCAGTATGTTGCAAATATTCCAAAAATAATGGCAGGTGCCTGCTAGTCTATTCATAATTTCAAATATTCAATAAAAGCCAAATGTGTCTATTTTAAATACACACAGGCCTATAATTCTATTAGAGCATGATTAGGAGTTAGGAGACTCTAAAATAAAAACTATTATAAAACCTTCCAGCAATTGAAGCGAATTAAATTTAAGGGAAAAATGATTCAAAAACCCTGAAAACTGAATATACCTTAATCACCATCTTGGTATCCTCTTTTGGTTTTTCAGTTAAAGTAGGAGTTTGCCTGAGATAAATAATAAAATTAGATTACTTACAGTTACTAAAGAATTAGAACTAATTTTAAAAGTTTGATGGCTTCAACACTTACATAGCCTCCTCCTGACTGTAGTGATCAGAAAATAAGGCATCTTGTGAAACATCCAAATTATTGTACATGGCAGGAATATCACACCTGAAAAAGATTTTATAGAACTTTAAAAATCTGATAAGCCAGGTATGGCAGTATATGGCTATACCCTTGGCACTGTGGGGACTGAGGCAGGAAAATGCTAAGTTTGAGTATTGGCCCTATTTCAAAATAAGAAAATACAAAGGGCTGAGGATATGTCTCACTGTAAGGTCCTATATTCAATTCAATTTATAATGCTGGGCATGTTGATGCAAACCTATAATCCTAGCACATAGGGAGGGTGAGGCAGGAAGTACCAAGTTTGACCCTAGCCAGGGCAACTTAGCCAAAGCATGTCTTACAATAACAATTTAAAAAGCATTGGGGGTGCTGGGTATGATATCACATGCCTGTAATGCAGCACTTGGGAGGGGTGAGGAAGGAGGACTGCTGCAAATTCAAGGACAGGCTGTGCTACACAGTAAGTTCAAAATCAACCTGAACTATATACTGAGACCTTCCCTAAAAAACAACAGCAGTTCAGTGCAAAGGCCCTGGGTTCAACACTTCCATACGAAACATTAAAAAAAAAAAAACAATTCTACTATATTTTATAAAATATAAAATCAGAGTCAGATTATTTTCCATTAAATCATCTTCCCTTCTAACCTATGTCAGCAAAGAAATTCCACTGGTAGACATTAGGGATGCTACTATGTAGAGCTTTGTATTATGAAATCCAGTTATGTATGTTATCTTTTTATCATTAAAATTGAGTATAACAGGAGCTGGGCATAAATCTTGGAGGTAGCAGAGCACTTACTGAGCACGTGTAAGGCCCTAGGCCTGATCCCCAGCACCACCAAAGAACAAGTACATGGAGTATCTTAGTTTCGACAACAGTTATAATCTGCTGCATGAAATCTGAGCATCAATAGAGAATATACAATTTATGAGCAATGGTCTACAAACCGTTTTGTCTTGAATACTTCTTTTTGGTGTTCAGTTAGTATTCTTTCCTTTAATTCTTTTCCTTCTGGAGGTATAAACACAAAATCAGTAGACTTTTCTTCTTCCAAAAGTATTTCACTCTTTACTTTTGGAGATGAAGATTCTCGTTTCAGCTGGGGAATTTTAAAAAAGTAAATTTACTTTCCAAATTATTTTCCAAATTTTCTATTGCTTTTGTAGTGGTCGTTTTACAATAACAATTTTAAGGTTGAGGTTCAAGTGTATACAACAATCACACCAAATTCCTATAATGTCCTTGTTTTTATTCCATTAAGTCTCCTTAAAAAGGAGATACATCTGTGCTTGACTATAAAGCATGGGTACATTATATTTTTATAAAAACACAGATAACCAACTAGTTTGGAAAGATGAAATATAGATTTAATTCTCAAGGTGAATCAATAAACTAGATAAGAGTATATCTTACACAACATAACTTTGGTATTAAATTGATTTTATACAAATTTTCACAACAATCATTTTCATTCTATTCTGGTAGCTACAAGAATGTTGTCAATCTTTGAAATATTTCTCTTTTACTTTACCAGGGACTCAATTTCAAAATTCTAAAATAAACTTTCTTTGGAGATCGTGAAAGATAACAACTGTTGCCAGAAAGTCAGAAACTGACAACTAGACAGATACTTTTTTTTTATACTAGGAATCAAACTCAGGACCTTATGCTTGCGAGGCAGGTGACGGAACTACTGAGCTAAATCCCAGTCCAGATATTTACTTTTTGACATGAGTTTAAAAAGTCTGGAACAGGGATTTAACTCAGAGCTGCCACTGCCTGCCTTGCAAGCACAAGGTCTGAATTCGATTCCTGGTATCAAAAAGAAATTCAATAGAGATGTAACTCACTGGTAAAGTGTTTGAGGCCCTGGTTTCAAGCCTGGGGGGCAGGAGACCAACAAACAAAAACTAGGAAGAAATCAACACACAAGGCTATACTGGCAATCTTTCTAAACTCTCACTCCTTCACAAACCCTCTTTGTCAAAATGTTACAATTTATTGTTCCAATTTGAAGTTGTATGACTATAAACTACCACGTACTTTAAGAGTTCAATTAAATACATATTTGAAAACATACTTTGGCAGATGGCTTCATATTTTCTTTTTTTCCCTTTGTTTGTGCCAAAAAAGAATCCCTTTTTCCATTTGACTTTCTTTCCATACCACTTATCTTCATATTTAATTGTGAATTTTCTGTCTGTTTAGTGAAACACAAAACAATCTTAAACATAATTTGCTTCTTTTCACATTTTGAAAACTCCAGTTTACTGAATGCTCATTTCACACGTGAAATTTCTTACTAATCAAGCTTGTTGAAAACTCTCCAAGATGCAAGAGCTCATGTCTTAACTTTTATACCTATTTCCTGTTTAAGTAGTATGAATTCTAAAATCAAGATGTACTACTCAAATGCTGTAAAGTTAATCCTATCAGTGGAATCAATGACAATACATATTACTGGAAATATTTCTAAGAGGAAAATAAAAGCTATAAAACTTTCAACATTAAAGAATAAAGAAGGGCCAAGTGTGGTGGTGCACACTTGTAATCCCGGTATTGGAACGCTAAAGTACAAGAGGATCTGGGATTTACGGCCAATCTGGCTACTTAGCAAGACTGTCACAATAAAAAACCCAAACAAAAATAAGAGGATTAATACAGTTCAGTGACAGAAAGCTTGCATAGTATACTGTAGGCACTGGGAGGAGGGAAGAAAAGAGAGAGGAGGGTAGGTAGGCATGCAAGTATGTATGATACAGAATATTAATATACCAGCCAGGGATCTAGCTTGGTGGCACCCACCTGCCTTGCAAGCACAAGGTCCTGAATTTGATCCCCGGTACCAGAAAAAAAAAGTGGCAGAATATTAATATACCAAGCACATTTTCTGGCACCAGAATGTATGGCACAGGCTGAATTACACCGAACCAATATTAACACGAACTCATTTGGTAAGAATTTTTTTTAGCAAAACAAAAGAGAACTTATCACTACTTTTTCTGATTCTATACAAAAAAAAAACCAGCTAAAACCCACCATGGCTATAATCTCAGCTACTCAGAAGGCAGAGGCAAGATCATCACAATGTCAAAGCCAGCGGAGGTGACGCAGCAAGATCTTCATTGAAATTAATAAAAGGGGGGGGATAGCTCAGTGGCATATATGAAGCCCTAGATTTAATCCCCCGCATCACAAATAGTGGGGAGAGGGAGGTAATTGGCTATATATCATCTGTAGCTGAATAGGGGAAAAAAAAGAAAGAAAACACTCTCTAAGGATGCACTACGCTTCAATCACTTTACTCAACTCCTAGTTCTCCAGATAGTAATCAAGTATTAGCCAAGCAATTCTCATTCTAATGGGTAATTATGATGCAAAGATTGTTTTTCCGACAGGAGAAATTAAAGGAAATGAGAAAATAAAAGGTAGTTCTAATTTAGGAATGGACTACTAGTTATTTCTGGTTTTTCCAAAGGAATATTCATCAATCTTTGTAAAAGAGTACACATAAAATCCTGAGTTCAAGTTTATATCATAATCTCTAGTGAAAAATTTTGCCCTTAATTCATAGACTGTGTATATACATATGTTTTTACATATATGGTTTAAAATTATGTGGAACTTTTCTATTCAGTCTACTTATTATTAATAAACTTCAAGTATCAATCAAAAATTTAAAAAAAAACTTACTGCATCTGAATAAGATCCACTGGATTCCTCTATTAGTTCAACATTTTCCAAACCAGGCAATAGAAGTACAAATTTTTGTTTGGCTTCTCTTAGTACTGGTCTTTAAAAAAACATATAAACATATATACATTTGAATCAAGGGTATTGGTAAGTACTTGTGATGTTAACTAGAACATTTTTTTTTTAATTTTTCAAGAAGTAAAATGTAACTGGCCTAAAAGGAGAAATCAGACAATATCTGAAGTGCTCTCTTAGGTTTTGGTTTAATTTTTAAAAAATTTATCAAAATGTTTTTAATCATGCAAAATTTCACACAGAAGTAGAATATTAAAATACCTGTGTTGAGCGTTAATTATCAATGCTCTTCTTGTTTCTTTTATTAAGGATAATTTTAAACAGATTTCACAGGATCCTAAATATCAAATTACTGGGCTTGGGATTTAGCTCAATGGTTCCACTTCCTGCCTCACAAGCACTAAGGTCCTGATCCCCAGTACCCCCCTCAAAATCACATTAAAGTCCCCCCAAAAGTGTGTGTGTGTTTGTATATATATATATATTTTTTTTTTTTTTGGTTTTTTGAGACAGAGTCTCACTATGTAGTTGAGACTGACCTGGAACTCACTATGTAGCCCAGCTGGTCTCAAACTCACAGAGATCCTCCTCCCTTAGCCTCCCGAGTGCTGGGATTACAGGTGTGCACCACCACACCCGGCTTCAAAAATATATAATGTTAATTATCAGAGATTATAAATAATAGTTCAAGGGTCAGGGATTTAGCTCTAGTTCCACTCCCTGCCTCCCAAGCTTATGGACTCAAGTTTAATCCCCAGAACAAAAATAAACAAATAATAGTTTAATTAAAAACTTCTCTGTTAACAATTGGTCTAAAAAAGTTGATGTTAAAACCAAAATACCAGTTAACATCCATATAGAATAGATAGTTGTACAAAAGTTTTGTTAACATACTTTAACTCTTCAGGATAATTCAATATCATCATTTTAGCAAATGTTGCATTCCAGAACTGAGCACTTTGTTTCCGAATCTGTTTATTCTTGTGCAGAAATATTATGCATAACAGTGGAGAGAGCTGTTCAAGAAGTTCACTATCGTACGTGCCACCACTGGACTGCAGACAAGTAATAATTTCTCCTAGTAGCTTTTCTAACTAGGAAAAAGGAAAGAACAAAAGCAAACAGTATATTAAACATCAATTCAAAGTGTATTTTCCCACTTTAATGTTTAATATGTGAATGATTTTAATCAAGTCTCCATGGTCACAGAAACATACACCCCTAGTATAAAGTTACTTGATACTCTAGTAGCTTGACTCTGAGTTTGATTTTTTTTTTTAGCTTGATTTTATCTCCACTAAGAAGTTTTTATATTTATTATTACAGTAATAACTGCCTAAATTTCAACTATCTTTGGAGGCCAATCCTCATACATAAAGACATTAGGCAGGACTTGATAACTAATACAATTTCAAAATGGTACTATGAAATCTTTCCCAAAAAAACTATCTGTGAATGTGTCTGTATCATATTGTTAAAAGCCCATTAAAAACTGTACAACTCCTTTTTTAACATCAGAATTATCTTCAAGGAAGGTGTTATCTAAACCCATTTTCTCGTAATAAAAAATTTTTATAAACAATGGTCTATTTTTTCTCATATTTTTTTCTTTTCCCTTATTAGCTTTCCCCTACCCTTCCCACTTTCCCTTCCCCTTTAGCCCCTTTCTTCCTATTTCACATTGTCCATTATATAATTAGGATCTTATGTACTATTATAGTGTGCTCACACCAGAGAAACTATTCGGTATTTACACGTGTGACTTATTTATTTACTTAGGAGTACATCCTCAATATGTATCCATTTTTCTATGAATGAATCTTAATTTCTCATTCTTTATGGCTGAGTAATATTCCATTTTATAGAAAAACCACATCTTTATCCAGTTTCCAAGTGATGGGCAAATGGGCTGTTTCCAAGTTTTAGCTATCACAAACTGTGCCGCTATAAACAGAGATGCACATATAACAATAGTCTATTTTTACCTTGTTGTTGAGAGAACTATACACTTTAGGAACTTCATCAAGCCTGGAAAGAAAAACACATAAAATGTTGTACCAACTGTATTTTAGAAGTTGATACTACCTAGCAAGCTAAACCTAAAAATTAAGTAATATAGCCATAAAAACATAAGGTGTACATGTATTGCCCCAAGATATCCCAAGGAAAAAAAAGCAAAATGCACACTAGCAAATGTGTCAAACAAATCCATCTTTAGAAAATAAACCATAGAAAACAATCTACAACGTAAGTAAAAGTGTTCAAACAGTGCTTTTTTAATGCTTTGAGAAGCATAAATCATTCTTGATGAAATACAGACTAAAATTTGCCAATGCAGTAAACTGAATCCTGCTCATTATCAGATCTACTCCTTAAAACTGTTTTCATGGAGCGGGAGGGATTTAGCTCTTTGGTGCCATACCTGCTTCTAAAGTGCAGGGTCCTGAGTTTGATCCTCAATACGGGGCGGGGGAGTATTTTCATGAATTTTTAGGGGGGCTATCAGGAATAAAATTCAGGACCTTGTGCTTGCCAGGCAGGCAAGATGCCACTGGGCTAAAATTCAGCCCTCCATGAATTTAATTCACAAAGCTATTATAATTGAACCACACAAGCTTACTAAAAAGAATATTGAGGATTTCTTTCAAAATTCGTTTCTTTCAAAATGTTACTTAGGATTTCTGCAGTTTCTAAGGCACTTACTTTAAATGTAAAAGCAATAATTCATACTTTGGTTAATTCTAAACTTTAAACGCACATATTTAAAAAATCTTCTAGAGACACAACAGAAAGAGGAAAGTGTACAAATGGAGAATAGGCATGATGAAATTCTTTATGCATGTATCAAAAGGGTACAATGAAACCCAATACTTTGTAAAATTAAGACAATAATGTATATTTTTTAAATGAAAAAAATGCTGTTTTTCAGAAATAGTGGTAAACACAAGCACTAATTTTTGCACAGATAATGTTCAATTGTTTGTTGTGAAGGAAAAGTGCTAGAAAACCATGCATAATGAAATCCTATGCAGACATTTTAGATGAGAGCCTTACTTTAATGGTGCAAAATACAGACAATATATTAAGTGCCTACCATATACTTAATTGTAGAGTAGCAGATCAAGTATGTTTTCTTATCTATTATTTTTCCTGTTTTTCTGTTTCCCCGAAAAACTATAAAAGTGTGCATATTTGTAAAAGCAATTCTGAAAAACACACCAAATGGAAAAGACAAGGGGAACAAACAGAAAAAATAAAGGACTTCCAATTTCTACCTCAGATTACCATTTGATCTACCTTTTTAACAAAGAATTTTATTTTCGGGCCAGGGATTTAGCTCGGTGGTTCTGCTGCCTGCCTTGCAAGCACAAAGACCCGAGTTCGATCCCTGATACAAAAAAAAAAAAAAAAAAAAAAAAAAAAAAAAAAAATCAAAAAAAAAAAAAAAAAAAAAAAAAAAAAAAAAAAAAAAAAAAAAAAAGAATTTTATTTCCAATGAAACTGTCACAACTACCATGTATAGCAAATCTCACAGGAAAACACCCTCATTACTGATAAATTTAATTAAGACTAAGTCCAAAATACTTACTTGGAGTTTTCATAAAATAATGCCAAGGGTCTTGTTAATACTGCAAATATCTGTCGAATCACAGAAGGCAAAGAAATATGTCCAAGTAGATTGGAAATCATGCTAATAATTGAATTGCCGACACTAAGGAGCGCATCAGAATGTGCTTCCTTGAAGCTCAAAGTGTGGAACGAACAGATGACTCTTACAATAAGTTTAAATAAAGAGGCCAATTTTCCTAGAGGGTCTTTCTTCTTTTTGGCCCAATCTGAAGATCGCTGTGGTGCTAAGACATAAATTAATTGATTGAAAACATGATTAGTTTGAAAAGTGTCAATCCCTACCTTAATTTTTATCACTTAAATATGATACATTAAGTTTATATACTTTTAACTGACATCCCAAATAAACCCTTAAATAATACACCATAAACAAATATATACCAGTAAAATATTACTTTTACAAATGAAAACCAAAGACAATGAAAAAACTACTTGGCAAAAATAACAGAAAAATGATTCCATTTTTCCCTGAGAAACTGTAAAATTTGAAATTTTTCATCATTTGAACAACTATTTTATAAAAAATACTAAACAAGCCCCACAGTTAAATTTAAGAGTTTTCAAACAAACAAACAAAAAAAACAATTTCCACAAGAAATTACTATTTCCTGATTCATTTTTAGTACATTGGTCCCTACAAATATACTAACAGATCTGAGATCCAAACCCTGAGGAAAAAAATGCAAAGAAACTTTACTACATATTTCCTTTGTTAAAAAAAAACTATCTTTTTCAGTCGTGGTGGCACATTCCTGTAATCCCAGCTCTCAGGAGGCTGAGGCAGAAGGACTGCCACAAGTTCGAAGGCCAGCCTAAACTACACAGCCAGAACTGCCTCAAAAAACCAAACCAAGGGCTGGGGATTTAGCTCAGTGGCAACATACATGGCCGTTTAAGTGCAAGGTCTAAGCGCAAGGTTCTGAGTTCTATCCTCATACCAAAAAACAAACAGCAACACATGACACATTCCAAATTCCCAGCTTTGTCCACTCGAGGATTCAGAGTAGCAATTAATTTTGGTTTCAAACTGCCCATCTGAAGCTCAAAGGAACCATGTTCCCTGAAGAAAGGGCTGATTCCAGAGTGCTGAGAAAGTACAAGACAAGGCTGAATATCTTATGTTAGCATGTCAAAAGAATGAAGTGAGGGCCGGGGATTTAACTCAGTGGTTCTGCCGCCTGCCTTACAAGTGCAACTACCCGATCCCAGGTACCACCAAAAACAAAACAAAACAAGAATGATGTGGATGTGTCAAAAGGTTATAGGAGACACCTTGAAGATGAGACTAATGCCTAAATCTGGGACCTCTGGGCACTACAATGAATAACACTAATTAATTACAGCCCATTTAATACAATAGAAATCAGGCCTTGTATCCTGATAAAACTTCAACAGAGAATATAGGAGCCTGTACTTCTTGTATGATTTATAGTCACCTGTGTCTATAAATGACTAGTGCTTAACATTGCACAAATTAGGTTCTGGATGCTCTAGATAGAGTAAAAAAGACAAGAGACATGGTTTATAGACCATGATTTTTTTTTTTTTTTTTTTGAGACAGGGTCTCACTACGTGGTTCTGGCTGGCCTTGAACTCATTATATAGCCTGGCTGGCTTCAAACTCACAATGATCCTTCTGACTCTGCCTCTTGAGTGCCACAATTACAGGTATGCGCCACCATTCCCAGCCAGACCACGGATTTGATATGCAGTTAGATCTAATGTGTCAGAAGTAAAAACAAAGTAAAATTATTTAAATGAGTGGATTACCTCGGGCCTGTAACACATTAATAACTCACAAAATAATTTATATCATTTTAAAAGTTCTATTAATATTCAGAAATTATTTTTTTTACAAAGTGAGATGATTGGACTATATCCTACTTAACCCAAGGGGAAAGCTGAAGTTTATCTCAAGCGTATCTATGTGTAACATGTTATTTCTATTATTCTGTCTAATACTAACTGAAAGCCACACAAAGAGCTCTGAAAGTATGTGAAGTATGTTTTAAAAATCATCAGTAAGGGGCTGGGGATTTAGCTCAGTGGTTCTGCTGCCTGTCTCACAAGCACTAGGACTCGAGTTCGATCCCCAGTACAAAAAAACAAAACAAAACAAAAATAAAAAATCATCAGTAAGAGCTGGGGATTTAGCTTAGCGGTTCTCATGCCTACCTTGCAAGCGCAAGGACCCGAGTTCGGTACCCAGTACAAAAAAAAAAAAAATTCATCAGTAACCAATCTTTCTAGCGAGAAATTTTTTAAATAGAAAAAATAAATCTCAACATCAACTTGCATTTCTATTAATGGCGGGTAATCACTTTCTATTTAAGAACATATGAAAACAGGTGGATATATTTCAAAGAATCAATTATTAGATTAAAACAGCTCACAGTTTGTGACATTTACTACAAAACATGTGGTTTTCAAACCAGCTTATTACAATCCCAACTGACCAAATTTATCTAAATGATAAAAATTCAGTTAATCTGGCCAGGTGTGGTTGTGCAAACCTGTAATCTCAGCACTTGGGAGGCTGAGAAAGGAGGGTCACAGCTGAGTTCAAGGCCAGCCTGAACTACACATCAAGAACCTATCTCAAAAGACCCTCAGTGGATTTTTTAGATTTTAACTTTCCTGTAAAATCATAACCAATGAACTGATTTCATGATTTTATATTCAATTTTAATGTTAATTATTATTTTCAAATAAGATTTCCAAACAGGAATATTTCCTAAAGAGTATCAAGTTTCTTTTTCAGTCTCTTATATCTGAAAGAATAAGAAAAATCATCTATATTATGAAATAGTCTATATAATTAGGACATTTTGCTCTTTACAATAAAAAGAAACTGTGTATGTGTGTGAATACATTCATGCAAAAGCACATGGCAGGAATAGATAGGGTTTTCCTGACAACTATTCAGTAGTACTATATTTAAGAAATAATGGATAAACAAACAGAAAAAATACTTACATTTAATTCTGGGCTGATATTTAGTATTATACGGTGAAAAGTCAATGCAATCAACTATTACAGTAATAATATGAATGATTCTGTCCAAGAACAACAAGTTCTAGGGAAGAAAAGTACCATAATGAAAAACTTTAAACAAGATCATAGTATTCAACAGTAAGAAACAATAAAAAATAACAATGTTTCTTCCCACAAATACCATAAAACCATACATTCCATAGATTTCCTTGTATAAAGTAAAAACTATGTGGTTACAGACTTTCCCGGTTAACTGCTATATTTTTTGGTCCTCGACAAATACTATAATTTTTTGGTCCTCGACATTCAGAAAATCTTTATGATGCCCATAAAACTCATCCTACTGGCCAGGCGTGGTGGTGCACACCTGTAATCCCAGCACTTGTGAGGCTGAGGCAGGAGGATTGCCAACCTTGAGTTTGAGGCCAGCCTAGACTACTTAGTAAGTTCAAGGTCAGCCTGAACTACTTAGCAAGACTGTCTTTAAAAAAAAAAAAAAACACTCATCATTATCTACCACAAAGTTCATAATAGAAATGTAAGGCTTTAGTTAAATTTTACTTTGGTCATGGTATGGGGAGGGGGGAATCAAACTCAGGTTCTCCTGCTTAATTTATAAGCACTCTAATGCTAAGCTGTATCTCTAATTAGATTACCCTCATAATTAGATTATCAAACAAACTCATCTTGAAAATTACAAAATTATTCATTGAACTCAATGGAGAAAAGATGTACAATGAAAAAGTTACTAAGATCCTCCATATTATTTCCTAAATATAACTGAAATTTAAAAAGTCATATACTCTAAGACTGTAAACTTAAGGAGTAGGAACAGTGAACAAATATAAGTGAAATCACAGGCCTACTAGTCAGAGACATCTGAAGGAAAAAAAAAAGACCTTTCCTAGTAACAGGGTAAAGGGTTTTTTTGAGAAAGACCTGGTATTTATAGGACAAATAGTTGATCAAAACGCTGCAGAAAGCTGGGCATGATATTATTGTACGTTTGTGAGGCAGAGGCAGGAGTTATCTCAAGTTCAATCCCAGCCTGGGCAATTTAACAAGACCCTGTGTCTCAAAATGAGGGGATACAGATCAATCTCTAGTCCTGAAGAAAAACAAAACACATGCATCAGCCTGGAAAAGTTCCTGAAATTGAAGATCTATTAAATAACCAGTGCTTAATATTCTCTATTACTTGCCATTTATTCAACTAAACTGGACTAATCTGCCCTAAAGACAGCCTCTGCCATCATTACGTACCAGAGAAGACACCACTTTAGCTATCTATAAAAACCATATGAAAGTACAGTACAGGTGACAGGCTATACATGCACATTCAAAAAAAGAAAAAAAATTCAGGGCTTGCCTCTTCGTAATTCCAAAGTAAAGGACACTTATAATCACAATTTCTCATCAAAGCCAAAAAAGAAGTTATCTCCTAGGTTAGGACATATACTCTAACTTCCAATACTACTGATTATTAATCTTTCATAATAAACATACACAATGACAAGAAATCAAATGTCAATTACAGTATGCTAAATAAAAAGAGAACTTAAATCTATGAAGAGCTAATGTTATCTCAGAAGAGGGAATTTAAAACATTAAATGAGAGCCTGAGTGGTGGCACATGCCTATAATCCTAGCACTTGAGAAGCTGAGGCAGGAAGACTACTGTTGAGTTCAAGGCCAGCTGGGCTATATAGTGAGTTCAAGGCCAGCTGGGCTATATAGTAAGTTCAAGACCAGCCTGAATGAACTACATGGCAAAACTGTCTACAAAAAAAGAAAAAAAAAACGTTTAATAAAATAAAACATTAAATGTAGCTGGATGAACTTAAAAATTAAGAATTCTCAGGGACCTGTGTGGAACAGTGAAAACAATACCTTATGTATGCTTGGAGAGCAGGCGGTGCCCCCAAGGCAGAAGGATTTACAGTGAGCCTCTGAGCAGGGAGTAGGTTATCTTGCCACAAGACACCAAGCACCTGGCTTGGTATGCCGGAGTGCGGATTTTGAAGCGAAACTGCCTTTTCTGTTACTCAGAGACTAAAATGGCTAAATATACAAAGTGAAAATTGATTTAACAAAAGATATAGATACCTCCTTCAGTTTTGCTGATTTCAAAATAAAATCATATTGAACTTCATGAATGTAGCTGGGCATGGTAGCGCCCACCTATAAGCCCTGCACTAAGGCTGAGGCAGGAGTATCACTAGCTGGAGGCCAGCCTTGGTTATACAATGAAGTCATATCTCAGAAACTAAAACTAAGGGGATTTAGCTCAGTGGTTCCAGTGAGTGCTTTGCAAGTGCAAGGACCCAAGTTCAATCCCTGGTACAAAACAAAACAAAAAACCCTAAAAATAAAACCTTAACTGTAAAATTACTCTAACATACCTCAATATTTATACCACAAAGAACAAAAATACATCTATAAAAAAGAAAAAAAAATGATACAGAGAAAGAGTAAATGACACACAAGACAGCTGAAAAGCTATCCAAAATATTACTCAGAAATAAAATGAAGAGCACTAAATCTTTATCCTGAGCTAAAGGTACAGCTCTTTAGTTCAAAAAGGTTCACTAACACCTTAAAACACATTAGTACAATGTTTTAATTCCAAACATAATAGAATAATCCTAAAATTTATCAGAGAACAAACTGCTAACAAAAGGACAAGCAAGAAAGAAAAGGCTTAGTGTTAAACTGCATACTGCAACCACACTTAAGTGCACAACTGTGTGACATGAAAACAACACCATGTTCAATGACTGGAAGAATATTGCTAAAATGTCCATAATACCCCGAGCAATCTCTACAATTCAATGACATTTACACTGGTATCTCAATAGCATTTTAGATAAACATTCAAGATTCTGAATACCAGAGCAATCCTGTGCGAGAATACTGCAAATCAGAAGCCATCATGCTCTCCAACTTAAGATACAATGCAAGGCCAAAACAATCAAACCAGTACTAGCGCCTCAAAAATTAAACTCTAAAAATATTAAACCAATGTGGAATCTGGGAACAGTGGCCTACATCTGTCTGTAGTCCCTGCTACTTGGGAGGGCGAAGCAAGAGAATCACTTGAGCCCAGGAATTGAAAGGCCAGTTTGGGCAACATATTGAGAATCCATGTCAAGAAAAGTAAGGAGGTGTGGGGTTGAACATGCAAACAAAAGTCAAGACTGGGTTAATTGTCAATGTCTTCATTAAAATAAATAAAATACCATTATGAGCCACTAATCCCCCTTCTGGCTTACTATATATCGAAGGAATAAAAGGATTCTGAAGAGGCATCTGCTCTCCCATGTTTCCTATAGCATTATTCCTTTTTTTTTGGTTCCAGGGATCGAACTCGGGTCCCTGTGCTTGCAAGGCAGGCGGCAGAAACACTGAGCTAAATACCCGGCCCTGCAGCATTATTCTTAATAGCCAAGAAAGAGAAATAACCTATACCCACAAAGAATGAATAAAGAACACGCAGTTTTTATAAAGTGAGTGTTGGTCACCTTCAAAGAAAAATCCTTCTACTTGCAAAAACATGAGTGACAGTAAAAGACATAAAGAAGCCAGCAAATACTACCCAATATCACTTATCTGAAGAATCCACACCGCCTACCTTGCAAGCGCAAGGTTTAGAGTTTGATCCCCAGGACCAAGAATAAAAAAAAAAAAAAAAAAAAAAGTAGAAAACAGTCAAAGAATGGTAGCTGGTCAGAGCTGAGGGAAGGTACAAGTGTTGTGGCACCAGACAATGGGCACAAAGATTCAGAAACTGGAGATGAGCAATTTCCAGAGATCTATTCTGCTGAAGGCATATAAATTATATGCTTAAAATAAGGACTGGAGAATCTATGAGTTTACAGATGTGACTACACACAAAAAAACAAAAACAAAAAAAGAGTGGCAGATGTAGTTCAGTGATGGTGCTCAGTAAACATGCATGAGGCCAGAGTTCAATTCCCAGGACTGCAAAAGCAAAAAAGACAACAGAACAAAAGAAAACAAATAGCTGGATATGGTGGCACATGCCTGTAATCCCAGCACTTGGGCGGTTGAGGCAGGAGGATTGTCCTTACAGGCCAGCCTGGACTAGTGAGATCCTATCTCAAAAAAAAAAAAAAAGGTAAAATAATAAAAACCCTTCCAAGTCACCTGGTGATATAAAAAAATACCATACAGCAAAAAAGGAAAAGAACTTTACCCTTCACCCTTAATGGTTCTAAAACACTGCACAGTTTTATTTTATTTTCCGTATTAACTTGATGTCTTATAATAGTATCAGTAAGGGCTGGAGATTTAACTCAGTGGTGCTGCTGCCTGTCTCGAAAGCACAAAAAAAGTATCAGTAGGTGATAGTTCAAAAATATTCCCTTTACTTAAAAAAGAATCCTTTAAATACGAGAGTTCAAAATTAGGACAAACTCACCAAAAAGGTTTCCTCTTCCAAACTGGACATTATCTTAGAAGAAAGTTCTTCACAACACAAATTCTCTTCTGCTGTTGCCACCAAAGCAGCACACCGAGCAAATACTCTATATAATTCTGACCAAGTTCGAAGTAAAGCTTTCATGGTCACCTGGTAATAATAAGAAACTTTCTATGTATACTTGTGTATCAAAAACCTAGTAAAATCAACCTACCTTTAGATTTTAACAACAGTGTAACATTTAAGGTATCATAACAAGTCTAAAATCTCACCCACTCAACCCAAAGTTACAATTCAGAAATGAATACCACAATACCAGCAATCAAAGGTAAAAAGGAATTCTTTTCACCAGTTAACTTACACCTATGCTAATAATTAAGTCACAATAAATTAAAGTCTTACTTACTACCATAGCTCATTATAAAGGGGGAGCTGCAGTATTTTCAGAAAGTACAAATTCCTTATACATAAAAACTTGATATAGCCTTACCACAGGAAATCTCTGTACTGAAAAAATATGATTTATTGGTAAAGTCAATGCACTATAGATGGCACTAAAATTATGTTCTAAGGCATCACCTTGATTTACTTCATTGGTCTGAAATAAGAAAAACAATAGTTAAGACAAAGACAAATTTCCATTAATTCTAATCCTATATAATAACATAACTTACTGTATGTACAATTACATCTCACAATGCTAAAATATTCAAGAGGTATCAAATTCCCACTCCTTGATACCTGGGAATATGTATAACCTTACATGAAAACAGGCTTTTTTTTCCTGCAGGAGATTGAACATGGGGCCTTCACACTGAGCTACATCCCTAGCGGTTTTTTTTTGGGGGGAAGACAAGGGATTATTAAGTCACACAGGCTATATTCAAACTAGCAATTGTTTCAGGTCCTCAGAATATTGGGACTGCTGGAATGCACCATCAATGCCTGGCTAAAATCTTTATAATTGTAAAATTTGGGCCTGAATCCAGCTCATGGTGTTGTTTGTACTGTAGGAGACAGAAAATGTGGAGAGGCACACAAAAGACCTAAGAGGGATAATATGTAAAGACATTGGCAGAGACTGAAATGATGTGACTGAAAATCAAGAAGTCAGAGGAACCAGACGTAGTAACACGCACCTGTAAATCCAGCACTCTGGGAGAACGGAGGTCACAAATTCAATCCCAGCACAAACACTTTAACCTTAGCACAATGGAGACAAAACACTGGTGTGTGCGCCACACATATGTATGCAAGCACACATAGCCCTCTGTGGCCATTCAAGCCAAGTCACTCCAGCATCAGAGCATCAGGGATCAGGTGCAGTGTTGGCTCTTTGTGATAAATAATTGGGTTTTGGGTTGCAATTTGGGCACTTGGTCTCTAAAAGTTATGCCACCACTCATTTAGTGAGATTCAAAATAAAAAGAAATTTAAGAAGGTGGTTATAGTTCAGTGTGAATGTCCTGTGTCCAATCCCCAGTACCCTGACAAAAAAAGGAAGGGGTGAAGAAAATTTTTAAAAGATTAAGTTTTTTGGGCATGAAGGTGCACACCTGTAATCACAGCATTTGGGAGGATAAGGCAGAGGGATTCTAAGTTTGAACCCAGCCTGCACTACAGATCAAGATCCTGCTAAAAAAAGAAAGGTCAGGGATGGCCTTGACAGTGACCATCAGACACAGAGAAATGGCATAGATTCTGCCTCAGGAGTCCAGAAGGAAATAATCCTAACACATTTTATTTCAGAATTCCAGAACCAGGACAATAAATTCATGTTGTTGGGGCTGTGAATACAGCTGTGGTACAGTACTTGGCTTCATATTCCACATCAATAAAAATTAAACTAAAAACATATATTCTTGCATTTTAAATTACGAATTGCGATAATTTGTTACCAAAATCCAGAGAATACATGTTATTTAAATCCTAAAAAGTAATTCCACAATTAACTCCCCAAATCTTAAATCTTCAATAAATAAGGACTTATAAATGGTCTTTGCTCTCCTGAGGACTCTTTTAGAAATGTAAATTGTTTCAATTCCAGAAAAATATGTTGACTAGTATGGGCTAGTAACATATTATCATAAAAAGCTGTAGTAGGTTAGTAATGCAACTCAGTGAGCCAGTTTGCCCCAGAATGGACAAAGTCCTGGGTTAGTCCCTAGCAATGTAGGGTATGGACATGGACTACCAAATAAGTTTTATTATTTTTCTTTTTGAGCTACAATGGAATCAGTTCACAGAATCCTTCCAAAAAGAGAGAACTTCTGATTCATGTTCTGTCAATACTGACACCTTTTAAAAGTATTTAAAGAAAAAACAGTCAACTCTTGATAAATTCTTGGCATGTTAATGTTAAATGGTTACAAGGTACCATGGCTTTGTCTTAACAATAGATAGCCTATTCAAGATGGTCATTATTATTCCCTACTGGTACAACTAATAGTACTCAAACATAGAAGTTCCTATGTATCATGTCTTGAAGTTTTACAATCTTACTGAAAAAAACGTAACTTTGTAATCCCTCTGACCTTAATAAAGTGGAAATTCAATGAAACAAAAAGAATGCAATGAAATAATACAAAGAGTATAAAATTTACTAATTGCAAAAGTAAAATCATTTCATTTTTTTCTATTCAAACTCCTATTCATTTTCTCAACTACTATAAGGGAAGATGTTTTTACAAATGAAGGAAAATTATGTAGCAGACACATCATACCTGATTAATCAATTCAGTTAATGGAGTGACTATAATGCTCCACATTCTCCAGAGATGTTCCTTATTTTCCAGTTGCTTTGCATTGTGATTAATTACATTTAAAACTGAGTCACTAAAAGCTAGTGGTGAAGTTGGACCAGAAAGCACACAACCTACAAGTGTTTCCAGATTAAGAAAAAACCTGAAGGAAAAATTAAAACAATGTAAGTTCTTTGTGCAAAAATACATCTACTGTGAAATAACAAAATTCTAAAAAAATTGCCCACAAGAGATGAATTCCAACTTTTAATTTTTAAGAAACTCTATGAAATATTATATATAATGAAAAATCACATTCATTATATAGTCCAAAACAACGAAGTATCAAATTATTTTAAGCAGAAACTTACCTTTCATCTGCTATACCACATTCCTGGAGATAACTGCTAAAAGTTAAATGAATTAAGAACAAAGCTGGAGTTCCCTTAAAAAAAAAAAAAAAAAAGTCAATCTTAATTACAACCCAATATGCAGGATAGATGATCAATTTAGCGTGAAATATTTAACTTAAGCATTACTCAGGCTATGACAAAAGCAAATTTATCTAAAGAAACTATAAGCAATTAACCTCTTTTATGTTCTTCTAATAACTGCTGAATTAGATGTCAAGAGATCAAAAAATGGTGCAAGTACAGATGTAAAAGACTATTAACCCAAAACTTACTGAACCTCCAACACCTATATAATGTAAATCAAAAGTACATTTCTTATTATTAGGATCAAAATTCAAAAATTCAAAATTCAAAAATTCAAAAGAGCAAAACTGAGCGTGATGATGCAGCCCTATAATCCCAGCACTCGGGAGATGAGCAAGATAATCTCAAGTTCAAAGTCAGCCTGGACTACATACTGAACTGAATTCAAGACCAGCCTGGAATAGATAGTAAGAACTTGTCTCAAAAACCATTGAGCTGGGCTTGGACACCTGTAATCTCAGCACTTGGGAGTCTGAGTCAGAAGGAGAGCCATCAGGAGCACCTTGGCCAGCCTGAAGTACAAAGGGAGACACTGCCTCAAAATCAACACACACACACACACACACACACACACACACACACACAAACACACGAGAAAACTTTCCTCTGAGGTCCATTATTTAACACAGTATTTAATTTCTTAATCTATTACTTTGTGCATCTTTTTTATTAAGTTGGTGAACATTTCCAATCCAATAATATAAAAATTTTACAACTAAATGACAACTTTAAAAATATACTGTAGAGACAGACAGGCATGGTAGCGCATGCCTGTAATTCCAGCACTCAGGAGGCTGAGGCAGGAGGATCACTGTGAGTTCGAGACCAGCCTGGGCTACATAGTAGTTCCAGGTCAGTCTCAACTACATAGTGAGATCTTGTCTCAAAAAACCAAAAACCAAAAACCAAAACCAAAAAAATCAATACAGGGCCAGGGATTTAGGTCAGTGGTTCTGCCACCTGCGTTGCAATCTCAAGGACCTGAGTTCAATCC